GAGCAGGTACTGATTTTGACGTTTCGTCCTCCTTGAAGATCGTCCTGGTGGGCAAATCGGGCAGCGGGAAAAGCGCCACCGGGAATAGCATCCTCTGCCAGCCAGCGTTGGAGTTTCACGTGGGGGCCCAGTGCGTGACCAGGCAGTGCTAGGAGGCCAGGGGCACTTAGGAAGGGAGGAGGAGCATCCTTGGTGGTGGACACAGCCCCCATCTTCGACGCCGTGCCCCCCACCCAAGACCTGTACAAGGACATCGGGGACTGCTACGTGCTCTCTGTCCCCGGGCCCCACGTGCTGCTGCTGGTCACCTGGCTGGGCAGCTTCACCGCCCATGACACTGAGGCCGTCAGGAGGGTGAAGGAGGTCTTTGGGCCAGGGGCCATGAGACACGTGATACTCCTCTTCACCCACAAGGAGGACCTGCTGGATGAGCCCCTGACCGAGTACCTGGCCAGAGTGAGGGACTCGGGGCTGCACAGTCTCCTGCGGGAGTGCAGGAGGAGGTTCCCACAAATAATGTCTCCAGGTGCCCCAGAGTCTCTGCCCCCCTCACCTACCTCCATGGCACAAACTACCTCCAGATGCTATTTAAGCACATTAACTATTTTTTCTCTTGCTTTTTTGTTGAATCACTCTGAGATAGACCCTTACAGACATCTTATACTATTCATAATAAGTAATACAACATGTATTATCCAGTATCTGTATGTGAGGCAGGCTTGAATGGTGGTGGGAAGGTGTAATGGTGGTGAGATTGATGTTGAAATATTGAATGTAATCAATTATTGTGAAAAACTTTATGGAAATGAAATTTAAAAATTTAATAAAAATAAAAAATAAATGTGTACTACTAAGCACAACAAAAAATACAGTATACACACAAACACACACACACACACACACACCACATTCACACTGGGACTTAAACCCTGAAGGCACTGGGCATGTTTCCTTTCTTTGGCGTCTTGTTCTTTTGTGGATTTGTTGATCTTCCCTTTGGCACTGAACACACAGTAGAAGGTGGGGTGCTAGACACAAAACACACACCTAAAAGATATCAGATTCCAAATCCAATACGGAATGTATGCTTTGATCACGTTTGGTTACTGATAGAGTCTGGGTGGTTAAAGTGTGTCTGGAAGCATTGGTGGCGGGTGGGGGGAGAGGAAGAATTAGAAATAGAGCAAGCTCTACAATGTCAATGGATGATATTCCAACCTCTCATGCTGCAAATCATACCTGCAAAACATATCTTTTTTAAGGTGCTTCCATTGGGCCGGGAGACCACATCAATGGAACTTCCCCCTAAGCCAGGTGCTGAGTGAGGACTCGGATTTTAACTCTCCACAGGAGTTTCTGGAACCTGTATTTGGCTTTTTAACCTCCTCCCCAGGCTCCCTTGTGCCTATTTTGGGCCTGTCACTGTCCTGGTGATACCTTTCCTCAGAGACAGGAACCATCGTTCCAGGAGATGCAGGTTGGGGCAGAGAACAGAGACCTCCAGGTCACTCCAGAAAGGGCAGTCCTTGAGCCACTCAGAGGACAGAGTTTCCTCAGCAGCTGCAGCCTGGCAGCTCATGGTTTCAGGTCACAGACAGGAAAAGGTTATTTCTCTTACTTGGAAAAGATACTCAGAATTCAAGTTCTTCTAAAGGCAACTGGCATCAGGAATCGAAAGAGAAAATGAAAAATTTCAGGTAGGAAGTGGGTGGAGAGGAAGTGAAGGGTTGAGCTGTTTCTGTGCAAGGGAAGTCTGTGGAGAACAGATTGAAGAACTGTTTCTTTCTGAGAGCAAACAGGATGAGGGTGTGGTGATCGAGGGTGAGGGGCTCAGGAGGCACCCCTCAAGGTCACAACTATGCTCCTTTCCACCTCCCCTTAACCAAATTTTTCTGTTTCTGTTTGAAGCAGAGAGTTTGAGGGCTGTTGAGGAGGACCCCAATACAAACACCAGCATAGAAGTAATGGGAAGTAGCATGATGAAGGAGCTGGTGGCTGAATACGTTGTCTGTTTTGTCTTGCAAGTCTCATGCCCATGACACCTTGGAGTCAGCAGCAAGAGTCAGCCAAAATCGTGTCTCCCATCCATCTCCAGCTCATTCTACTCTGGGTTCCAGCCAGCAGTCATGCTGGTCGTCTCTGACCTTTCTTTCCCCTCCACCAAAACCCTTGAGGCAACTGTACCAGTACATAATCATTTTACATGGTCTGATTGGTTTTCTTTTTAATTTGTGAATTCATTACAGACATGTAGCCTTGTTACTGAATAGTGCGCGAAAGATGATTTCAGCAACGTCAAACACCGTTAATCAAAGTGGACAAAGGACATGACCCAGTAACATATCTATCCTGAGGAATTTGGTGTGTGGGCAGGTGGACATGGCTGTTGAAGAGATCCGAGTAGAAGTCATGGATAATCTTCTCATTCCCCTTCTGGAAGATGTGATAGATCCATCAGGACATCGGAGTGCAGTCATCTTGGTCTTGTAGTTAGTGAAGAATAGGCGGCATTGCGAATACTTTTCCCGGCTTCTGCCGCACTGCTACTCTTGTCTCTTTGAGGTCTTCCTTTATTGCTTCTCTGAACAGCTTTGTGAGCTCGGATATTAGCATGTGATTGAGGCTCGCACCGAACCACATTGGCGAATGAGCTCTAGAATTTCTGAAGACAGGTGTCTGTTTGTAGCTTTCTCACTCTCAGTATTCCTCGTGCAGTCATAGAGGTGCTGAATCAGTCAATCATATTCCTCTTTGATGTTGTCAACGACAGCATCTTCCCACATTGCCGCAATAATGCCAAAGTCCCAGGTGGTGGTCATTCTGAGAGTTTTCTTCTTAAACTTTACAGCCATTTCTCCCCACTCTATGAAATAGAATTTTGCACGAAAGAGATGGTGGTCCGATTCCATTTGGAATTTTGGGACAACAGCGACATCGGTCAGGCAAAACTGTCAATTGATTATGATGTGGTCATTTTTATTGTGGAACTTGCCACCGAGAGGCTCCCATGTCCAACGTTTAGATTCGGCCTTCTGGAACTGCGAGACACCATAGATGGTCTTGGTGGACATGATGAACTCAGACAGTCTCTCACCCTGTTCATTCCATTCTAGGCCATGGGTCCTGATGTGGAGTTCTTTGGGCGACCTTCTTGGTCCTATTTTGGCATTAAAATCACCAACAATGATCTTGTAGAAGGTATGGTCCTCTTTATAGAAGGTTCTGAAGAAGATTTAGCATGATCGACCATATCCATATGTTGACCAAGCTATAGCAGTTTTGTGAGAATTCAAGATGCTGCTCTGTCTAAGGATCACTAATTTAAAGAAGGCCCTTGATTCTATTGAGACTGAAGCAGTCATAGAAGGCATAGCCAAACAGGGCATTCAAACTCAGTACATCAGAATCCTCCTCTAGCTGTATTCACCACCAGGATCTCACCATTCTACAAGGAATTGATCATTGATGTAAAGAGAGGGGTTTGGCAGGTTGATACCATTTCATCGAAAATCTTCAGTGCCACTCCCAAGAAGTCATGTGACGACTGAAATGGGAAGAAATGGAAGTGAAGGTTGGCAACTACACCACCTTCGCTTCACTGATGACATCGTTCTAATAACACCAAACATTAGCCAAGCGGTATAAATGGCTGGCCAACTTTGACCGTGAGTGTGGAAAGGTCAGACTGCAGCTGAATCTCACCAAGATAATGTCCATGAAAAACAAACTAGTCCCTGACATTTCGTTTGCTCTCAATGGTACAAGCATCTCTGAATGCAACAGGTATGTGTACCTGGGTCAGGAACTCAACATGAGGAACAACCTGATGCCAGAACTGTGCACGAGGAAGTGAGTGCTATGGAACGCCTTCAGTAGAATTGAATAAGTGGTTTAGAGGACAAAGAACCTCCAGCTCGAACACATCTTTCATTCAGTCCTATGTAATTCATCACCGTTCTCTTGTATTTTGGTCTATAGTTTGATATCAGGGAATTCATTTCCCTCCTGACTTAAAAAGTCCTAGATTCATTGGTGGTGGGATATGTACAATGGTGAAGGATTGGTTGTTGAAACATTATATGACTGAAACCCAATTTGCTCGAGTAGGCCCAGTAACGTCTCCATTGGAGATTTTGTTGTTACTGTGTTTGGCATATCGAATACGTCACGGGGAGCTTGCCAGGCCCTGCCATGTGGGCGAGATACTCTCGGTAGCTTGCCGGGCTCTCCGAGAGGGGCGGAGGAATTGAACTCGGGTTGGCCATGTTGGCTGCGTGCAAGGCAAATGCCCTACTGCTGTGCTATCGCTCCAGCCACTGAAACCCAATTATAAACAACTTTTTAACTGTTTATCTCACTGGGATTCAATTAAAAAATAAATAAAAATTTTTAAAAAGAGTCCTAGATATTCTGGCTTCTCTCACTGTGCAGACTAAGTGCTGAATCAACACCTTCACTGGGAAACTTGTTCTTAAGATTCTGTTCTTTATGGAAGGAGGGTTGAGCCACAACTGTCAGGAATGACTCTCGGCTCTGTGCTCAGGGATCAGTTTTGGCTGTTCTTGGGGACCATCCATGGTGCCCAGATTGAACTAGGGTTAGCTGGATGCAAGGCACATGCCTTAACCCCTGTGTATCTCTTTGCACTAAGACTATTCTTGAAGTAACAATTGTGGTTTATGGTTTTAATTTTCCCCATGAGGAACTGATCCTGCATTTTTCTAAACAAAACACAAATTCTCACAGAAATTTTAGAACACGGCCTTTCAGTATGGCATTGGATTTTGGTCGTCTTCATAGTATTTCTGGATCTACTATTGTTAACCGTCACAACAGAGACAGCTTTGGAACTGTTGGTGCAGCAGGAGGCATTTGAAGGAAAAAGCTTCAACTTGCAAAACAGAAACACTTACCCAGTTGATGGAGAGGTGTCTCTGCCCCTTTAATAGCCAACAATTGTTTCACTGCCTGGCTCCACCCATTCTGAGCTTCCTGCCCCAGAGGTTTCAAAGGGTATCAACATATTTCTCAATTTGGATGAAGCAGAAGAACGAGATCCAGCAGTTTCTTCAGAGAAAAATCCAAGAATTCATTCATTCATCCAAGAGAAGGTGAGTTTAAATGAGAAAATGAGCCAGAGCAGTAGGTATGAGGAGGAGACAGGGGGCTTACAGAGCCTGACTGAGGTGGCGGGTTGTGGCCTGAGAAGGAACAGGCTGCTTTTCTGCAGGTCTTCAAGGAGGTGAGGGGTGGTGCAGGGGATGCAGGCCAGGCATTGTTAGAAAGGTATCCAGAGGCTCATTGCTTACCTGGGCTAGGGGCAGGAGCTGAGCAAGAATTGCTTGCTGCCATGGTCATAGACTTAGTACTCAGAGGAACAAACACTTGTTCAATCATGCACTTTTAATCCATTAGCTGCTATGACTGACACAGCCTGCTCTTCTCAGGGAGAGGAAGCATCCCCTGAAGAAATTAGTATCCCCAGGCTTGGTCTGCAACTCTGAAAGACAATTTAGAGCAACACCAGGAAGTCACAGCTTTTACACAAAAGGCATCAGACAACCTGACTGGGTGCACTGGTGGAGGGATGGGTGTTCCATCATTGTATGATTGAAATTCAAACATGAAATCTTTATAATTGTATTTCAGGATGATTCGATAAAAAAAAAAGGTGTCAGAATCACAGAGAACTTGTTGACACTACATGGGTGACTAGGTCATCACTGACAGAGGAAATCAGAATTCTGGAAACCAGGTTCCTCCAACATTAAGCAGAAAAGAGCTTAGTCTTTGAGAATGCAGCATATGGGTTGAGGGTTTGAGGTGCTTTGTTGAAGGAGTAACTTTCCTAAAGAAAATACATTTGCAAATCCCCCTCATTACTTTCTGTCCCTGAAGACCCAGGGAAAAGGAAGAGGTGGCAGTCCTGTGCAATGGTCAGCAGCCTTGCACAAAGGTCAGGAGCAAGGAGGGGTAGTGAGGGAAAAGGATTTTGTACATGTTGGGTTCAGAGAGAACATCAAGTACCGCTCTGCAGAGGTACTCACTCTAGTTATACCCGAGGAAATGGAAGTAACTCTCCAATGTCACAATCAAGATTTGTTGAAAAATTTGTTTTCTCTTACGTATTCATGAAACATAAGATAGATTTTTATTGATATCAATATAATTATGCAACATAAGGAAACTAGAAGCATGTGTTTTTGAATACTGAGTAAAATCAAAAAACATTTAAAAATAATTCATAGGGGCTAGAGCTATAGCACAGCGGTAGGGCGTTTGCCTTGCATGCAGCCGAACCGGGTTCTATTCCCAGCATCCCATACGGTCCTCTGAGCACCGCCAGGAGTAATTCCTGAGTGCAGAGCCAGGAGTAACTCCTGAGCATCGCCAGGTCTGAACCAAAAAGGAAAAAAGCGATAATTACCCAGGTACTTAGGTTTCTCTGATTATATCACATCTTCTTTTCAAAGACCATATCAAGTTCGTTCAGGCCATGGTTATAACTCTCTGACATCTCTTCAGTTTAACAGACTCCACAGTTTCCACCTTTGTTGTTTCTTCCTGTGAGATTTCTTAGTTCACCACTGGCAAGTTTTCAGTTCCACAAAAACTGAGTGTGGGACTTCTGCTCATTCCATCTTTAATATATCATCAGTCATGCTCTTAGATTACCATGCTCTGTGTGTGAACTTATTTTCATTCAGAGATTAAAATGTGACTATTTTCTATTAGAGAAACTTTATTGGTGCAGCTGTAAACTGCCATCAGAGGCACAAAGGAGGGAGAAAGAAAGCGTTTGCCATAGAGACAGGCTTGGGGAGAGTGGTGGGAGGAAATTGGGACCGTTGGTGGTGGGTAATATACACTGGTGGAGAAATGGGTGTGGAAACTCTGTATGACCAAAATCTGATCCAGGTTAACCCATGTTTCCTGACCCTGACTTGAAATCAGTACTTGCTCTTAAGAGCTTGAGTTAGTTTTTGGGAAATGGCATTTGAAGATTACTAAGGATGTACATTATTACTGGAATCTCTTGCTTTACGCCTATAGTTACCTGTTCTCATTTGCTTTTAATTTTTACTAGAATTCTATTGAATTCTTCTTGTATGATTATACAAATGACATAGTTCCAAGATCAACCTAGTTCCAGCGTCCATTCCTGAACTCTCCCAACCACCCCTTCCCATCAGAGTAACCTTATTTTCTCTCACCTTGTCGGTCTATTATTTTTTGACATTTGTAGTATCTGTTTAAATGAATTCCCTATATTGATCTGAGTTAGAAAACATTCTTTCTAGTTTAAAATTTATGTTTTGCTTCTGGTGTTTTGGCCACATTGCATTTTATATGATTTGATATAATCTAAATTATGAGCTTCTAATTCTCTATATCAAATTTTAGAATTACTTTCTCACATCCAAGTTACCAAAATTTTACCTTTATTCCTCCTCTTACTGATATGTTTCTTCTCTTATTTTCACATTTTAAGTTCGAATACATTTAGGGTTTGAAAGGAAAGAGGAAGTTCTCACAATTTGTTTTGAGAACAAATTGTGGCCACACTTTGAGAGAACAGTTTTCTGACCACACTTCGATGGTGCTCAAAGCTTCCTCAGGGCTCTGTGCTCAGTGATCACTGTGCTCAGGGCTCTGTGCTCAGGGATCACTCCAAGAGGGCTCAGGGGACCATACGGGGTGCTGGGGATCGAGCCCAGGTACACTGTGTGCCAGGTAAGTGCCCTCCCTACTGTCCTATGACTCTGGCTCCTTCCCACAATTTTCCCTTTTATTCTTGGTTAGAAGTGTCTGGTGAATCTTACTTCCTACAGATGTACATTGATTCCCCAGTGAATATAGGTTTAACACAACTGGATTGAATCAAACAGAAATAAATATGGGAAAAGCAGTTAACTCAATTTCTGATTTTCAGTATTTGTTCTTGCATCCCCACCATCTTGCTGCCTTTTTGAGAGAAATCAGAATGCCTTATTGTTGGCAGCTAGTTTTGCTTCTCTCTTCTTTCTCTCGGCTGTCCAGACTGATTTATATTATTCCTCATGTATTTTGTACAAGACTGTGTAACTTCTGAAAAAAAAGTATAAAATTTTTAACTTACATATTTATAAAATGTTATAGAGAACTGTTGATTATTCCTGTGTATCAATTTTATGGTGATTTGCACAGAATCATGTATGAAATTGGCTATTTACTTTTTCTTTTTGTTTGTTTATTGAATCACTATGAGCTACAGTTACAAAACTTTCATGTTCGAGTTTCAGTCATAGAATGAATGAACACCCATTCCTCCACCAGTGCCCATTTTCTACCACCAATGTCCCCAGTATCCCCCTTCCCCCATCCCAGTCCTCCTCCTGCCTCTATGGCAGACAATTTCCCCCAGACTCTCTCTCTCCACTTTTGGGCATTTGGTTTGCTCGAATTTTCCCACCACGCTTCAAACCGGCCTTCCAGAAGCAGTGCTAGATAATTTATTTTCTATTTCTCATTATGAATATCATGAGAGGTTTTAAGACGGTGAAAGCTGCCTTGTGCTTCTGTTCTTCAGGTCAAGTGCCGTGTAGGTGCAGCACCTGCAGTGGACCATGGACGACCCTCAGTTGAATGATCGTCAATACAACGCCCTGAGGATTGTCCTTGTAGGGAAAACCGGAAGTGGTAAAAGTGCCACAGCCAACACCATTCTTGGGGGAGACAAATTTGTTTCAAAACTGGCTGCCGTCTCTGTAACAAAAAAATGCCAGAAAGAGTTCCGGGAATGGAAGGGGAGGAACATCCTCGTCGTGGACACGCCGGGGATCTTTGACACCAAGGAGAAGGTGGACACCACCTGCAAGGAGATCAGCAAGTGTGTCCTCTACTCCTCCCCAGGCCCTCACGCCATCATCCTGGTGCTGCAGCTGCATCGCTACACAGAGGAAGATCAGAAAGTCTGTGCCTTGGTCAAGGCTCTCTTTGGAGAGTCGGTCACCAAACACATGATCATTGTGTTCACTCGCAAGGAAGACCTGGGGGACAGAAGCCTACGTGAGTTCATAGATGAATCTGGCGTGAGTCTAAAAAACTTGGTCAAGGAGTGTGGGAACCGCTGCTGTGCCTTCAGCAACAGAGCAGAGGAGGATGAGAAGGAAGCTCAGGTGCAGGAGCTGATCCAGCTGATAGAGAAAATGATGCACGACAACGCCCGCTTCACTGATAACATATACGAGGACGTAGAGGAAAGGCTGAAACAGAAGTCTAAGGCCTTGATCAAAATTTTTGATAATCAGTTTAAAAAGGAAATTAAACTAATAGAAGAAGAATATAACACTAAGACACAGAGAGAAAAGGAGCAAAGAATAGAATTGCTGAAACAGCAGCATGCTGCTCGAATAAGTAATATAAGGGAAGAAGCTGAAAAGAACATATTTGAGGAGGTTTTCAACACAATTAGTGATTTCTTCTCAAAATTATTGTCTCCGTTTTGGAAGTAATGTAATTTTCAATTTATCTTCTATTTTTGGTTCTAGAATATGGTGGATTTTACTAAAGACACGCCTTACTCACTAGCCCTACATTAAAGTAATGTCTGTAATAGATTACTAAGAATAAAACAACCAAAGGTAAGAGTCTGTCTTCATCCATCCTGCGTCCTTGAACATTCTCCCAAGTGTGTATTTTGCTGACGATGCCAATAAATCTAAAAAAGAAGAAATTTAATTTTCCCAAAGTCAACAAGACTTTTAAAATCTTACTTTCTTTATTAAAATAAAATTTCATTTGCCTTCAATATAAGATACCCGTGTTGATGGTGGGAGTGTGTCGGGGGGTGGAATAAACATGTTTACTGACACAATGCTATATACTATCAAATTGTAACTCCTAAGTTGTGGACACAATCATTCACTAAGTTAGTCCATATGCATGATAACTCATCTTGTTGTCATCAGACATTGAGGAGCTTACATAGCTAAACAAACTAAAAATATGCAACTAAGTGTATTTTCATATGGGCATAATATTCGCAGGTAATGCATTCACATCCTTTGACTATTATGTTATGATCATGGGAGGATGCACACATTGTTGCACTTGTGTCCAGGGGAACTCAGTCAGACCCCCAAGACCAAATTGGAGAGATGCTCAGGACACATGACACCAGCCCCACTCACTGCACAGCGTGTCGGGGTCTCAGACCCTTGTCAAATGACTCAGACTACGAACACATTTATACCCCCAAACTACATTCTAGTGTGTCAGACAAGAACACACAGCAATCTCTACTAAAACAAGGCATTGTCCCCATCCTGAGAGATGCAAGGGGAACAAGTCATGGTGACAGTTATAGAATCAAGAGAGAGAATGATTTCTTCTACACTGCTCAGGTCAGAGTTCAATTTGCCGTCCCTTAAACAGAGAGTCAATCTTGATGGTCCTGACAAGGTCCAGAGGCTGTCAAGGGACTCAAGAGGCAACAAAGTTAGCACAGCTAGGTCCCATAAATTTTAGGGACAAGCTTTGAAAATTGAAAAGACTGGACCAGAGCGAGAGTTTAGTAGTTAGGCACTTATCATCTGATCCCTGAGCATGGCCAGGAGTGATCCCTGAGTGCTCAGCCAGCAGTAGACCCTGAGTATTGCCAGATGTGCCCCTCCCACCAGTCATTAGAGATAAGTAAGTAATAAGTAAAGGCCCTCCCGTTGATCATCGATTTGCTCGAGCGGGCCCAGTAACATCTCCATTGGAGACTTTGTTGTTACTGTGTCTGGCATATCGAATACTCTCAGTAGCTTGCCGGGCTCTCCGAGAGGGGCGGAGGAATCGAACTCGGGTCGGCCATGTTGGCCGCTTGTAAGGCGAATGCCCTACCGCTGTGCTATCGCTCCAGCCTTTAGAGCTAATGTACGTCAATATCCAATGCAATGGACCGTCTATGGCACGTACATACAATGTGAGGGATCAGTGAGTGAAACAGAACCTTAATTTACTGAAACTCACTGATGCTCTGAATCTTATCTTCCCATGACAATGATTACTTTCTCGTTAGTATCAGGGCTGCACAGTGACTGGCAGGGCTCTAAGCCTCTCTCGCTTTCTCTCTCTCTCGCCCGATCATTCTCTGCCAAAGTTTTACATAAATGTTTGGTGATATATTGCTATAGTTTAGGAAATGTTCCTTCTTTTGTGTTGCTCAGTAGCATCATACACACAAACAATATAAGCGTAAGTAATTCAGTCACATTTTCAGTCACAATTGATTTCATATGGTTAAACCAACCAGTATATGTGAGATTATATGCTTTTTCATATGTGTCTATCATTCAAAGAAACATGAATTAAATAATTTGAGCAGTATATGAGAGTTGGAATAATACTAATATATATAATGCATATTATGTGCTGTATGAAATGATGAATATTTATTTCCATTTTAAGAGTAGTATGTGGAAGGGAAAGGCTGCTGCTTTAAGTTTTCCTTTTTAGTGTTGTTGAAGGCAAAACTGATCTCAATAGTTTTTAAAAGCAAATTACCTTAAAAACAAGAAAATACAGATTGAAATAATTAAGAAGCAATCTCGGAGAGCCCGGCAAGCTACCGAGAGTATTCGATATGCCAAACACAGTAACAACAAAGTCTCCAATGGAGATGTTACTGGGCCCGCTCGGGCAAATCGACGATCAACGGGAGGGCCTTTACCTTTACCTTACCTTAAGAATTATTATTGTTGTAATTAAGGAAATAGATTAAATTAAGAAGCTATTTTGAAGAGATTCTTAACTCTTCTGTGGCTGCTAAAAACAGAAAGATATCGTATCATGGAGGAACAGAGTTGGGCTTCATCCTAAATGTGAGACTGGGACTGGAGAGATAGTACAGGATTTAAGGCACTTGCCTTGCACAAGGTTGACCTCTGTTTGAGCCCTGGCATTGCATATAGTCCCCCACTCATTGCCAGAAGTGACCTTAGAACAGAGCCAGAAATAAGCTCTCAGCCAACTCTACAGTGCCCACGACTCAAGGGCTACCCAAGTCCATGAATTAATGCTTCCTATTACAATCACTAACTTCATTTAAAATAACTATACTAATTATTAAAGTTTCCTTACAAAGGCAACCTCCCATATAAAGCCTTCTGGTAGATTTCCAGAATGAGTCAATTGTCACCACAGATTAGTGGGAAATAAAATCTGAAATACACTGTCATGAACAGAACAAATATCAGAAAGCCATTCTGAAGAATACAATCCAGAGACTGGAGAGATTGTATAATGGGAAAGGGACCTACTTTGCACCCTATTTCGTCCCCGAGCCATCAGCAGGAGTGATCCCTGAGTATAGAGACAGAAGTAAGCCCTGAGCACTGCTGACCCCCAAACAAACAACAAAATGCAATCAAGTAAATTAAAGAAAAGGAAAGGTTGCTAAAGAAGCAATATACCTACTTTGATATATAAAGATCTATATAAAAGATATACACACAAATCTATACTCAAGGATCGGGACAGGTACAGAATGATCTTTCATATGTGGGGTATTAAACACAGTAAGTGATATAAATTTAAAAAAAACACAGCAAGCGAATAACAAATGGCCAAAGGCAACAGTTCCACAGAATTGAGTTTACCGAGCCTGGTTGGGAGAAGATGGAAATTGAGGGAGTGGGGGATTAGAAGGGGCAGGGGCATTCCCTGAGATAGCGGTGGGAGTAGACGCTGGTGGAGCACACAGTGTTGGAATGTTTGCATGAAACCCCATTACAAATCATGGTGACTAAAAAAAAATTAAAAACTCTATGCAGACACAAAAATACATACTCTTAAGAGCATTTAAAAACATCATTGAGGTCTTCAAATTTTTTCATTCACAAAGACATAAAAGAAAATAAAGTTCTTCTTAATTGAAAATTTTTTTATAGAACGAATTTTCTTTTTGTTTTTCTTTCAACTAAAATGAAAGAAAATGGAAAGCTGCATCATCTTCATGTGAACTAGAGGTGTCTATGAAACCAGAGCCATTTTATCATTACCCTACTTCTATTCTTTCATGTGGTTTATCTGGTTCCTTTGCAGCATTTTGCCCTCTCTGGAGTCTCCCATCCACCTTTAACCCTGGCAGATTTGTAGCTCAAGCTTCTACACCCAGAGTTATCTTGTTTTTCAATGATAATGGTCATTGATTTAGGGCCCACCTTGAAGACCTAATCTTGACTTGAGACCTGCCAAAGACCCAACTCCAAATAAGGTCAGATTCTCAAATACCAAAAGTTAGAACTAGAAAGGTCACAGTGATAGTACAATGGGTAGGGCCTTTTGCCTTGCAAGCTACTGGGTTTAATCCCTACATTGTACTCCCAAGCCCATCAGGATTGATCCCTGAATACTGCTGGGTATGACTCACCCCCCCCCCAAACAAACAAAAAACAACCTGCAACATATTTCTGTCTCTAAAACCCACTTAAATAGGAAATAAGAAATGGATAGTTATTCAAGTTGAATCCTCTTGCTTTCTCTCCTTTCACTCCCTGTGATAGGTGGTCTATAAGAAATTATTATAATTATTATTTTTGATGTGACACAATATCGTTTATTTATTTTTATTTTTTTAATTGAATCACCAAGAGGTACAGTTACAGACCTACAAACTTTCGTGCTTACGTTTTAGTCATACAAGGATTGAATACTCATTTCTTTGCCAGTGCCCATTCTCCACCACCAATGTTCCCAGTATCCCGCCCACCACTCCTCCCCAAACACCTCCCCCAAAGCCTCCCTGGCAGGCGCAGTCCCTTTTACTCTCTCTCTCCTTTAGAATGTTGTGATTTGCATTGCAGGTGTTAAGTGGCTATTACGTTGGGTCTATATTCAACTTCCGTACGAATCTCCCATATTGACAGACCCTCCAAGCACCCTTTACTTGGTGGTCCCTTCTCTATCTGAGCTGACTTTTTCCACAGCATGTGAGGCCAGCTTCCAAGCTGTGGAGCAATCCTCCTGGTTCTTATCTCTACTATCCTTGGGTGTTAGTCTCCCATTTTGTTGCTTTATATCCCACAAATAAATGCAGTCTTTCTATGTCTGTCTCTCTCTTTCTGACTCATTTCACTTAGCATGACACTCTCCATGTTGATCCAATTATATACAAATTTCATGACTTCATCATTTCTTTTTATGTAGGAGTACTGCTATTTATTCAGCCACTGATTAGGCTGATTGAATTGTGCATGAATTCCACCTTAATTTTTCCCCATTTTTTATAATTTTATTTATTGAATCACTGTGAGAGCTTTCGGGTTTAACTCTCGGTCATACAATGAAACACCTGTACCTTCACCAGTGCCCACTATCCATCACCAAAATCCCCACTATACCCCCATCCCATACCTTCCCCCTACCTGTGGGGCAGATGATTTCCAAATTATTCTCTCTATACTTTGATTACACTCAACATTTCGACACCACACCCACCATTATTATTTGGGATTTTACCCAAACACTCAGATCTGCTGAAAAGGCAACAGTAGACAATTTGTTTTCTATTACTGGTTATGAATAGGTTATGAATAACATATGATGTCGCCTGGCTGCTGTAGTGGCTGCACGATTTTGAAATTCTGAAATTTCAACAATTAAATCTGGAGGGATTTCTTGCCAAAACCTGCTGGGTTCTGAGATTTGTTCCCGAGTCTCTGGGATCATGGCCGTTAAGCTGCTTGATCAGGAGCCAGAGAGGCCGTTCGTGATGGTGACTT